ACTCCGCCACTGGATAGGAGTGTTGGTCGCAGCGTTGTGGTTCTCCCGACTAAAACACCAGTCTAAAGGGATTACGATACTCCCTCCATTCCCAAGTACATGGTGCATAAATCTACTCAAAAGTCAATTGTTTCTAAGTTTGAATATAAATAGATAAGAAAATACCAACAACTACAATATTGAATAAATAGATCATGAAAAATGCTTAATGATGATATATCGATATCGATTTGACATTGTTTATCTTCATTTTTTATTTCTATTCTTTTGCGGGGAGTTTATCTTCGTATTTTTGAATATATACTTGGTCAAACTTAGAATGCATTCACTTTTTCACTGAATTTAGACGCCATCTACTTAGGGACGGAGGTAGTACATTGTTGGCTGATGGCATGAACATATTTACCGACAAACAAATTGTTGGACATGCCCTTATGCATGAGACGACGCGAAGCCCAGCTAGTAGCTCGGCCACTTGTATGTTTATCATGGTGATTGTGTTGCTTACATTTGACCATTTCTCTCTCCCGAGGGAGCCAAGAGGGCAAGAGGGGGACGAGAAGACTGTGCACGTCCCTGTTGCATCTGCATGAGCGCCGCCGTCCGGATCCTGTCTGGTGATGACGCAGTGGCGGTGCAGGCATGGGGCGGCACGCTTCCCCATATTGGCCGCATTTATGAGTTGTTTCAAGGCTCCGGGCCCCGGACGAAAGGGCTTCTCAGGCCGATGGGCTGCCAATGAACAGGCTCGCAAAGCTGACTGCGGTTGCTATCAGGAGTGGTGGTGTGCAGAATGATTAGGAGGGTGGGTGGTGTACTGCACACAGGACCGTATGAACAGGGAGCAAAGTCACACAATATTCATGGGCTGGTACCGGCGCCAACAGCTAAGAGACAGAGAGGTGTAGTGTAGCCGCCCAACGGCGCAGGAGTTTCTGTCCCGTCCGGTTTGAAGTTGCCCTAGCAGCTACCGGAAAGTTCACGTACGCGTCGTGCGTGCGTGCGTGCGTCCGGCGTTGTTTGGAACGCACGTAAACTAAGCATGCCCTCCATATGATACTGCATTTTACATGCACTTGCTGGCTGCTCTCGCGGACTCACTATTTAACTAGTGAGTGTATTGAATTGTGCTGGTCAAGCGGGCATACGATGCACGACGGCCGTTGCGAGCTTTTTTTGTCAAGGCAGAATCGTGGTGGTTGGCGGAAACACCGGCCGAATTGCCCAGAAAGAAACATGCACGAACGCGTCGTCAACCAAGTTAGTGTTTTCCTAAGTGCAAGTTGAGCGTTGCCTTTCGTCGATCGCGCGCTGGCAGCTACAAGAGGTGAGGTCACGCGCGAACGCGGCGCCGGCCGGCACGTACGTGGTGCTCCTGCCCTAGCTAGGAGGGCGACGTGTTGTCGGTCGGCGCAAATTACCGCGAAACCAAGGCTGCACGTACGTGGCGGTGACGGTGCATGCGACGGGACATCACGGCCGGGCGGAGCAACCAGGGAAGAGGTCGGTGCCTACGCTCGTCCAGGTCATGCCACGCTTGGCCGACGGCGCGCGGTGGGACGGGATCCCACGTACGCGCGCGGATGCGGCACCAACTTGGCACGGCTGCGTCGGCTCATCGAGGTCAAAGATGTCAAGTGGAGAAAGAATCACAGAACTGCGCTCTCTCTGTCATGAATATACCTTTTTTTTTTGCAAGGAATGTCATGAATATAGGAGTACTTGCTAGTGTGAACATTTTTTATCCTTCTTCAGAAAGGACCCGGAACTAGGGAGAATATTTGATGCTACCAAGCCTTAGATGCTACCGTGATACGGGCTTCTGGACCGTCGGATTCTTAGATGGACGACATCTAGGAGTGGTTGGATCTGCTGGACCTATGCGCAATTTCTGAACTTTTAGGAGGCTTTTTTGCAATTGTTGCAGAACCTCTGTGAGCCGTCCGATCCAAGAATCCAACGGCCTAGAAGATTGTATCATGGTAGCAGCTCAAGTTTGGTAGCACCAGATATTTTCCCGCCGGAACTATATCGAAGACGAAATCGGTGATAGAAGCACCCCACAGAACAAAGAAATTACATTCAACCCAGAGTAAAATGCATGCGCGATCTTAATTCTTTCATGAAAGTGTCGATTGGGTCATAATTCTTTCAAAATGCACGTCTAAATCCTAAATCTTTTTAAGTTGTTCATTCAAGGTCCTAATTCCTTTTGACCACCACTGACCTGCGCAAGTGGCGCTTTGACCCTAGCCACGTTGTTGACAGGAGGTCCAACAACGGTTGGATATTTATGCAAATTGGCCCCTGTGATATTTCTCCTTCCGTCCCTAGGTCATCTTCCTCA